AAGAGCAACCTAGGCATAAAATATAGGATGCCCTTTTTGGGTTAAAGGGGCTTCCAAACAAACCTAAACCGTGAACAAAAAGGGGATGAGGGCCTGGCCTGGGTCCTAGCATATGAGCTTCATGCCATCAAGTGCAGACTCACACTTGTTCTTCTCACGGGAGAAAAAAACGTTCCCGCCCCTTGCTGACATGCATTTTCCCAAGATCCCGAAACAGAGCCTTTGCGGGGTCAATGATGGGAAGGAAGCCGTGACCCTAAACCCTAAACCCTAAACCCTAAACCCTAAACTCTAAACCCTAAACCCTAAACCCTAAACCCTAAACCCTAACCTCAACCCTCAACCCTCAACCCTCAACCCTCAACCCTAAACCCTAAACCCTAAACGTCGCAGCTCGATCAGTTAAAGGTTCTAAGGTTCAGGATATTGGGGTCAAAGCATGCGAGGAACATGTCTTGGCTTGGCCCTGAAAAACCCTCTGAACCCTATATGCCTAGGGTTTAGGGTTTAGGGTTTAGGGTAATATTCCTGAATATCACCCTCTTAAACCCAATCAGGGAAAATGCGAAAAGGTCCCCAAGGGCCCCAAGGGCCTACCGAGCTGCTCTTTGGCTACCCTAAACCCTAAACCCTAAACCCTAAACCCTAAACCCCAAACCCTAAACCCTACACCCTAAACCGCCGGACCAGCCCCGCCCACCTCGTTCTCCACTTGCTTCATGTCTTGGCCGCTTCCCATGCTCACAGTGTACCTGCCGGCCGTTGAGGATGCTAACCCTAAACCCTAAACCCTAAACCCTAAACCCTAAACCCTAAGCCCTAAACCCTAAATCCTAAACCCTAAACCCGAAACCCGAAACCCTGAACCTAAAATCCCCTGGCGCGATGGGTGCCGCCCACCTGGTGGAGTGGACAAGCTTGCTGTCGGCTCCGAAGACCCTCCAGTGGACGAAAACCTGCACACCCGCTCTACGTCAAGGGGTTAGGGTTTAGGGTTTAGGGTTTAGGGTTTAGGGTTTAGGGTTTAGGGTTTGGGGTTTAGGGTTTAGGGTTCAGGTTGGCGATTAAAATATTCGTAAACCTGGACGGTCACAGGTTTAGGGTTTAGAGGGTTTGTGGGGTTTATAGGGTTTACCCTAAACCCTAAACCCTGAACCCTGAACCCTAAACCCTAAACCCTAAACCCTAAACCCTAAACCTTTAGGGTTTAGCATTTCATGAATGCGTAGCATGCCGGGGTTCCTCGTAGCCAAGGCGACAAAGTCTGTAAACCCAAGCCCGGCTGATGCAAATGACCCTAAACCCTAAACCCTAAACCCTAAACCCTAAACCCTAAACCCTAAACCCTAAACCCTAAACCCTAAACCCTAAACCCTAAACCCTAAACCCTAAACCTAACCCTAAACCCTAAACCCTAAACCCTAAACCCTAAACCCTAAACCCTAAACCCTAAACCCTAAACCCTAAACCCTAAACCCTAAACCCTAGCCTGGACATAGAAGCCTCATAGGCCCTGAGCCCGAAACACCGAAACCAAACCCGATAAAGCCCCTAAACCCTAATACTTGCCTCTGAGAGATCTTCTGCGACAGCAGCTCCGTAGCCTTCTTCTTGGATCTTTCGCAGCCTCTTCGACTGCGATCACGTGGCTGTACCCCTAAACCCTAAACCCTAAACCCTAAACCCTAAACCCTAAACCCTAAACCCTAAACCCTAAACCCTAAACCCCAATCGAAGTATGGGCCCGGAATTGGGGAGCCTCTTATATAACCCTTCTGAAACACTTTATCCATTAAGGGCCCATACTTCGGATCCCTGTACACAAGGGTAAGGGACCACACGAAGGGCCCATGGTTCAAACCTTAAACTAATATTCCCTTATTATGGCCTCATTATAAGTATACTATCATAACCCCACCCCCCCCCCCCCCCCCAAAAAAAAAAAAAAAAAAATAAAATAAAATAAAAAAACAAAAAACTGTCTCACTATTAAGGCCCCCTGTATTGGGATGTTCCCACTGATACTAACAGTCCTCAATTGGGATTATATTTATTTAATCGGGGGTGCTATCATCGCTATTCATGAACCGTCAGTATAAGGGGGAACATCCCAGCCTGCAACACTAAACCCAAAAACCCAAAACCCTATACCCTAAACCCTAAACCCCAAACCCTAACCCAAAGCCCTTAATAGGGCTTATGGGTTTGCAAGCTCGGTAGGGGTTCTAGGCTTTGTAGGTTCGAAGGAGTGATGGTTGAAACTTGGGCAACCGAAGCCTTGCGCCTGTGGTGGCCCTTTCTGGGTTTAGGGTTTAGGGTTTAGGGTTCAGGTTTAGGGTTTGGGGTTTGGGGTTTAGGGTTTAGGGTTTAGGGTTTAGGGTTTACATCCAGGCTGGCCTCTCCCCGTCGCGATCAAGGTCTTCCCAAGTCACAAACTTCTGGAACTCGATCTGCCAGACGCAGGGATCCTCCTCGCAGAGCATAGGGGTAGGGTTTAGAGCTTAGGGGCTTAGGGGCTTTGGGGCTTAGGGGCTTAGGGCTTAGGGCTTAGGGCTTCGGGCTTCGGGCTTCGGGCTTACGACTTAGGGCTTAGGGCTTAGGGCTTAGGGTTTAGGGGTTCGGGTTTCGGGTTGCAGGTTGGGATGTTCCCCCTTGTACTATAACAGTCCTTAATGGAGATTATAAATTCCCCCTATGATCATCCCTCTTAAGGACTGTTAGGATAAGGGGGAACATCCCAAGTTGCAGGATGGAAGATTGGACTTTACTTTTGAGGATTAGTCTGAGGGTTGGGCGCGAGGTTGAAAGTCTTGCGAGTCTGGCGGCGTAGGGTTTCGGCTCGACTGTTCAGGGCTGTCTCTCACTCTGGAGGGTTTAGGGTTTAGGGTGTAGGGTTTAGGGTTTAAGGTTTAGGGTTTAGGGTTTAGGGTTGTTGCTTTGGGAACTCACAGTTGGATGAAGTTGGATGCAGCTTTGCGTCGGATGACCATGACGCCATATGACGCCTTATGTTGATCACGCTTCAACCTTTTCTTCAATTTGTCCAAGTTCAACACAGGGCAAAAATGAAAAACGCAACCAACAAGACCCAATGGCTCTTTGAGCCCCTGATGATCCCTTTACAAGCCAACACGAAACACGTTCAAGACCGGTCCAGAAAATCCAAGCAAACGCATGTCGGAAGCATTCCCAGAAAACCCTGTTCACGCATCTCGGTTCCATGGTCCCCCTTTCCATACAGCCCTTCGGAATTTGATTTCAAAAAGCCCATGTCGCAAAGAACGAAAAAGTGCACAAACCCTACTAAACCCTCAGCTAACTCCATCACCCTGAACCCCAAACCACAAAAACCCTAAACCCTAAACCCTAAACCCCCTTAAAACCTTACCTCCGGAGCTCCCGCCTCCACCTTGGGCAGGAGCTTCGTCAGGCCGCTGTCGCCCGACAGCCGGCGGCTGGCGAAGGTGAAGTTGGCCACCTCCGAAGAGGAATGGCAAATGCTGAAAAGTTAATGCTAAGGATATTGTTCTTATATATATATATAGAGAGAGAGAGAGTATGTATTCAGAATATGTATATGTATGTATACATAAGTATATATATATATATGTATGTACATACATGTGTATATATATATATATCAGCAGCAGCAGCAGCAGCAGTAAAGATGATACATGGCAATACAAGAGCAACAACGGAAACAATAGTAACAACCATGGGTAGTGCGTCTGCGTAAGAAGCGTACTAGTGACTACTGTGATCGCAAGAAGAAGACAAAGCTAGGACATCTGTGCAACTTTGCTTTCTTGTTGCATGGAAGTAACTGATATTGGCGACAATATTTAACAAGTCTTTGCGGGTTGTAAACCCCTAAGCCGAACGCCCAACAAAGGGGTCTGAATAATTGCAATTATTATTATTATTATGATTATTATTATTCCATTTGTAATTATAATACAACCAACCCCAAAGCCCTATTCGAATTATTCAGGCCCCTATGTTACATCATCGAGTGAGCATTGCGATTCGGAGATTCGGGATGGAGAGCGCGCTGGCGTTTTTTTGCTCTCCCAACGATGCCATGCCATGCCACTTTGCTATCACCGTTTTGATGAAAGATGACCTCGGGGCTTGGGTTCAGGGTTTCTTGAACCCTAAACCCTAAACCTAACTCCTAAACCCTGAACCCCGAACCCTCAGATTGGCGACAACCCTACACCCTAAATCCCAGGGGCTGGCCTCACCCTTGGTCATGGACCGCACGGCGACGTTCACGCCTCCCGGGTGGAGGGCTTAGGGTTGAGGGTTTAGTTTAGAGGCTTTAGGGGCTCAGGGCTTAGGGTTGACAGGGTTTAGGGTTTAGGGTTTAGGGTTTAGGGTTTAGGGTTTAGGGTTTAGGGTTTAGGGTTTAGGGTTTAGGGTTTAGGGTTTAGGGTTTAGGGTTTAGCTTAGGGCTTGGGGTTTGCTAGAGTTTGAGCTTGACGGTTTAGGGGTCGGGTTTAGGGTTGAGGGCTTAGGTCCGTTTAGGGTTTAGGGCTGGGGTCAGCTCGCGAACTCGTCACCCAGCTGTTCGTGCAAAGCCTTCCAAGCAGGCTCTCTTCCAAGACACTCAAAAGAAAAAACACCCAAGCCCTACGCCCTAAACCCTAACCCTAGCCCTAAACCCTAACCCTAGCCCAAAACCCTAAAACCCAGACTCCAAGCCTCTCAAGCCCCTGATCAGCAGAGATTCCCTGGCCCAACCCCCCGGCACCCTCGTGCATGTCGGGGTCGCCGAGAATGAAGGACACAGGGGCCTCGAAAAAAAAAAATAGGGTTCGGGGTCCAGGGCTTTACTCTAAGGTTCCGAACCACGGGCCCTGAGCGTGGTCCCTTACCCTTGTTTAAAGGGATTTGAAGTCATTAATTATTGTTCCTGAATACATGAAGTGTATATAGGGTTGTATAAGGGTCCCCAAATTAAGGGCCCATACTTGAAGGGCTATAACAGGGGACCCAAATTACGGGCCATTCCTCGGATGCCCTATTTACGCTTGACCCTAAACCCGAAACCCTAAACCCTAAACCCTAAACCCTAAACCCTAAACCCTAAGCCCTAAACCCTAAGCCCTAAGCCCTAAGCCCTAAGCCCTAAGCCCTAAGCCCTAAGCCCTAAGCCCTAAGCCCTAGCCCCAAACCCTAAACCCTAAACCCTAAACCCTAAACCCTAAACCCTAAACCCTAAACCCTAAACCCTAAACCTTAAGTAGGGTGGTGTAGGTTGGAGGACTCCGGGTTGCAGAGGCTGCGGACGGTCGCGGGCCCCTGGCTTCTGGGTATGAGACTTGGGAAGTTCATCGCCAAGGGGCAGCTGGGGGGGTCAACTCTCTTGCAGGTTTGCAGGGAAGTTTGGGGGTTGTAGGGTTTAGGGCTTTAAGGGTTTAGGGTTCCCTAAACCCTAAACCCTAAACCCTAAACCCTAAACCCTAGACCCTAGACCCTAGACCCTAAACCCTAAACCCTAAACAGCTCTGCGGAGTGAGGGATTCTGGCTGTCTCCGAGGTCGAGGCAGCCGGCCCTGACTGACCTCAGCGTCTCCACGTCGCGTTTAGGGTTTAGGGTTTAGGGTTTAGGGTTTAGGGTTTAGGGTTTAGGGTTTAGGGTTTAGGGTTTAGGGTTTAGGGTTTAGGGTTTAGGGTTTAGGGTTTAGGGTTTAGGGTTTTGCCAGGGTTTCGGGCTCAGGGTTTGGGCTTTGGGTTTAGGGTTTAGGGCTAGGGTTTGGGGCTCAGGTTTTTAGGGTTTAGGGTTTAGGCACCAGGGATGGGGGCTGAGAGATGAGGGATTGGGCCTATATTCCTTCTTCGCTTGCACAGACACTTCGCCTTCGCTCTGTTGGGAGGAATTGCCACGGCGAGGAGGCTTGAACTAACAAAGGCCGACCAAACCTTTACCCTAAGCCCTAAGCCCTAAGCCCTAAGCCCTAAGCCCTAAGCCCTAAGCCCTAAGCCCTAAGCCCTAAGCCCTAAGCCCTAAGCCCTAAGCCCTAAGCCCCAACCCCTAAACCCTAAACCCTAAACCCTAAACCCTAAACCCTGAGACAAAGGACAACTTCAGGCGGGTGGATACTGTCTATATGAGACATGAATATACAAGCGTTGTATGACCTTATGCAAGCATCTTATACGAGAGACTATCCTAAATCCTCAGCCGTAAGCCCTAAACCCTAAACCCTAAACCGTGTATGGCTTATACAGGCTCCTCATCAGGGAAGCTGCCCACCTTTAACGGTCTCAGATAGGACCTTGATGCCACGCTGCGCTGCATGAGCGTCGGAGGACCGGTGGAAACAAGCTTCAGGCTCCCAACGCGTCTGCATCCCTAAGCCCTAAGCCCTAAGCCCTAAACCCTAAACCCTAAACCCATATGAACCCTGAAACTCACAGACCCAGTGCCCAGAGACCGCAAACCCCACCGCCTCAAAGCCAGCCGGGTTTTTCAAAGAGGAGTAACTTGAACCCTCAACTCACAATCAAAGGGTTTAGGGCTTAGGGTTTCGGGTTAAGGCTTACATACCTAATACTGTCATCTTCGCACGAAAATATGTAATATTCATCTTACCCTAAACCTCAAACCCTAAACCCTACCCTAAACCTTAAACCCTAAACCCTAAACCCTAAGCTCCTCGGCCGCAGGCTGGCTTGCCGCACAGCCAGGTGCACCACGCCTCGGGTCGTGGGTCCGGAGCACTCGGCGTTGGGGCTTCTTTGTACGGAGAGATGAAAACCCGACTTTTGGTTTAGGGCTTAGGGCTTAGGGCTCAGGGCTTAGGGCTTAGGGCTTAGGGCTTAGGTCTTAGGGCTTAGGGCTTAGGGCTTAGGTCTTTGGGTTTTTAGGGTTTAGGGTTGAGGGTTGAGGTTTGAGGGTTGAGGGTGTAGGGCTGTACTACCTTAAGAACTCGAACCTATGCTTCTTGCAGGTTGCTTCAGAGTCGTACAGGGCGCCTCACTGCAACGTGGCAACAAGAATGTATTTACTGGGTTCTTTGAGGGAGGGTTTGGGGAATGAGTCCTCTTGAGTGTGGGTTTAGGTGGTAGGGTCTTGCGTCTTGAAGAAAGGACGATTTTGAGAACTAGGTTTCAGGTCTTTCGGATTAGGGGATTACGACTGGGTTTCCTGTAATCCTCATACAAAGGCCCGCACGAAAGGGTTTAGGGTTTCGGGTTAAGGGTTTTGGGTTTCGGGGACCCAAATTTTGAGCAGCAGCCATATACGTACCCCTGACCCCGGACGAGACATTCGAAGAGAAACTCGAACGTGCCAAAGCCAGAGATCAAAAGCCCAACCTCTGCCAACTGAAGTCCGGCGGTTGGGATCTTGATCAGGCAGACCAGGGGTGTAGGGTTCAGTTGAGAGCTCGGGGTAAAACTTTGTCTAGGGCCTAAATCCAGTACAGGGCTTGAGGCTTCCACAGCACACCCCGAAGCACTTTGCGTGTACCCTCAAAATGCATTTAGCTCATTGTTTTTTTTAATGGGAACTCTAAAGGGACCCCCTACACCCTAAACCCTAAACCATAATGAAGAGAGTCTACCACAAAAAGATGGGTCTCTGATTTAAGGCCTATTGTGGGTAACTTGGAGGCCTAAGCATGCCCTGACACTTTTCTTACTGTTGCTTAGTCGGGAATGAGGGACTCAGGCACCCTATATCGCCCCATATATACCCTTTAAGGGATTTTGTAGGGTACCTCACTCATTCCCTCATTCCCCTTCTAACTCACCAACGGTAAGTTGTGTTGTAAAACCCGCTGGTCGTGAGGCTCTAGGCGCCGTGCACTTCGTGGCGCCTTTCCAGTCCATCCAGTCCTAGCAGCAGCTTTCTCGTCTCAGAACTAAGCCCTAAACCCCAAACCCCGAGACCCTAGACCCTAAACCCCGAACCCTAGACCCTAAACCCTAAACCCCCCAAACCCCCACACCAACCAGAAACCCACGGGCCGATTTTGCGAGCCCTCATAGTTCTGCCCCCCGCCCCCCCCCCAAATCCCAAACCCCAAACCCCAAACCCCAAACCCCTAAACCCTAAACCCCTAAACCCCTAAACCCCTAAACCCCTAAACCCCTAAACCCCTAAACCCCTAAACCCCCAATCCCCTAACCCCTAACCCCCCCCCCCTCTCCGGGCACCTCGTTGAGCCACTTGCCGCCATCACCTGCTGAGATCTGCTGCTTGCGGATGGAACCATCCCCGAGCAAGTCCTTCTCCTGCGCTTTGTGGTTTGCGGTGTAGGGTTGACAGGGGTGGGCATTCACTGAAAACAAGGCCTAAACCCTAAAGCATAAACTCTAAACCCGAGTCTAAGCCCATTAGTCTACAAAGAACTCCTTGTAGTTTGGCGTACCAAAAAGGCACAAACATCATGTCGTCAAACCCCCCAACTTCGCAAACCCTACACACTCAATGTTGCACCCTGAAGCCGCATCACCCCAACAGCGAGCGACGTAACATGGTAATACTTCATAATACCAAACATATAAAATTTTGGCCTTGAGTACACTCTGGTAACGAAAGAATTTCCCCAAAAAACACCCAGATCCGAAGAGCCCTTGGGGGAAAGCACAGCATACAACCCATACCTATGGCTTTTGTTTGACCTTGGTCGCCCCGTAACCATATTCCAATACGGATGACCTTTCTAGTGTTAGCTACTGTATCCCTAAACCCTAAACCCTAAACCCTGAACCCTAAACCCTACTAACCCAAAGCTGCGCGGCTCTCCTTGAAACCCAGGCCGGAAAGCGTGGAAGCAAAGGAGAACTCCCTCTTTTCACCTGCAGGGCAGGGTTCTTCGCTTTCGGGCTGTAAGGTTGTGAGGCTTCAGGGCGTCTAGGGTTGAGGGTTCGTTGCTAAAACTTTGCCTCGCATGTATACCGCATGGAGCCCTAAGATTGCCAACATGACGGTTACATGAAGGCTTAGGGTTTAGGGTTTAGGGTTAGGGTTTAGGGTTTAGGGTTTAGGGTTTAGGGTTTAGGGTTTAGGGTTTAGAACATTCGCAAACCCGAAGTGACCTTCCCGCTCCTCACGCTTCAACTGCTTGAGGTGCTCCTGGCTTCGCCAGCAGGCAGATAAAAAAACTCAATGCCTGAACTTGGGTCTAGGGTTTAGGGTTTGGGGTTTGGAGTTTAGGGTTAACTCCTAGCCTAGAAACCCTGTACGGAATGATATGAACTCTTAGCGTTGAGTGCCCATATAGGACCTTGAAATTACCCGCTTCCTCATAGCCTTCTTTCGGTTGCTAAAGCTATTACCTCTGTGTTTTCGGCCTCTTGGACTTGGAGGCTGCATTAGCAAACTGCGAATCCTTTCTACTTACTAACTTGGCTTGCAGGATCGAAGTCCAGACAGGGGTCCTCAAAATAGGCGGTACCTTATTGGGGTCCTTATTCTAAGGGAATCCTACTATTTGGGGGTCCAGATTCGGGGTCCCGTATTTTCGCAACCCCCCAAATCAATTGCCCCTGACCTACTCCTTACATCCGGCCCCCGAGTTGTAGAAATTTCCACAGGTACGTCAGTGTCTTCCAGAAATTGAATAGTGTTCGAAGCGTTTTCTTGGGAGAGACTTTTCCAACGTTCATTTGCAAGGTAATATAATTGCTACTGCATGTGGAACTAGTTGTACATGTCTTTTTGCTAGGTTCTTCTTCTGTGCAGATTGGGGAACGGTTTTGTTTATTCTGCGTATGTCCCTGACTGCCTTCCGCATCTGCCTCTTGGACTTGTCGTAATCCCTACTAGCCTAAGCCCTTAAGCTCTTAGGCTTGGGACCATTCCCCCTGATACAGCAGTCCTCAATCGGGATTGTCATGGCTATAGTCCCGACTCAGGAGCTGCTAGTAGAAGGGGGAAGATCCCAATCTTAGACCCTTAAACCTTAAACCCTAAACCCTAAACCCCAAACCCCCGTTGAATCCCCATAAATTCTCGCCGTTCAGTAGAACTCCTCAAAGCCTGTGA